TTCCTTCCTTCCTTCCTTCCTTCCTTCCTTCCTTCCTTCCTTCCTTCCTTCCTTTCACTGTAGTGAAACACTATGACCAAAAAGCAAGTTGGAGAGGAAAGGGTTTATTTAGCTTTCATTTTCAGATCATAACCCATTATTGGAGGAAGTCAGGACAGGAACTCAAGCAGAGCTGGAACCTGGAGGCAGAGGCTGATGCAGAGGCCAAGGAAGGGTATAGCTTACTGGCTTGCTTCCCATGGCTTGCTCAGCCTGCTTTTTTATAGAACCCAGGACCACCAGTCCAGGGATGGCTTCACCCACAATGAGCTAGACCCTTCCCTATTGATCACTAACTGAGAAAATGCCTTGCAGCTGGATCTCATGGAGGCATATCCTCAACTGAGGCTCCTTCCTCTCTGATGGCTCTAGCTTGTGTCAAGTTGACACACAAAAGCAGCCAGTATAAGGGCTCATCCAAGAACCTCATCCGTGGTCTCCCCAGTACACTGTTCTTGTGTAGAAGTTGACTGTGCCAGAAGTTGAGCTCAGCTGGTGATCACAAACCTCTGCTGGCTAAAGGCTGTGGAGCAGCTCAGTTGTAGATGACTTGTTTGGTCTGATTTCCATGCTTAGCACTCCAAGACCAAAAGAAAAACACTTGACCTAGGACCTGGAGAGCTGTCTCAGAGGTTAGGAGCTTGTATGGCTTACAGCTCTGGTAGAGAACTGGAGTTTGGTTCCCTACACTGGGATTGGCTCACAACTGCCTGTAACTCCAGTTTTGGGATATTTGTCACCTCTAGCTTCTATAGGTACTGCACTCATGTGCATGCCTTCCATAGCCATATCATTACAAATAAGCATTAAAAACAAACAAACAAACAAAAAACCCCCACAAAACTCTAAGACAGCACTTGATCAAGTAGACTCCCAGGATTCTGAAGACAGCTTTGACAGGGTCCTCCTGTCTGGACACATTCAGGGTCCAGGACAGGGAGGCAGTGTGCTGTCCTAACCCAAGGTCCTGGTTCCTTCTCTCTGTAGACTGGGCCACCTTTGCTGTGGGTCCAGGCCATGGAGTTCAGCTGCGCTCAGGTCGCCTGCTTGTTCCTGCTTACACCTATCGCGTGGACCGTCGGGAGTGTTTTGGCAAGATCTGCTGGACCAGTCCCCACTCCTTGGCTTTCTACAGTGATGACCACGGAATCTCCTGGCATTGTGGAGGCCTTGTGCCCAACCTGCGCTCTGGAGAGTGCCAGCTGGCTGCCGTGGATGGTGACTTCCTCTACTGTAACGCCCGGAGCCCTCTGGGTAACCGTGTGCAGGCACTGAGTGCTGACGAGGGCACTTCCTTCCTGCCAGGGGAACTGGTGCCTACACTGGCTGAGACTGCCCGTGGCTGTCAGGGTAGCATTGTGGGCTTCCCAGCCCCACCCTCCAGCAGGTCTCAGAATAATAGGGGGCCAATGGGTCTTGGGAATACTCCACATTCCCCATGCCTCTATCTCAGAGTAGAGTCTTCAGGAGAAGGGGCTGGAAGTTGGGTGCCCAGGGAGCCATTCTGCTACCCCCAGTTTCGGAGCCCAGAGAATCGTGGGCTAGAGCCTGGGACAGGTGGAGATAAGTCAGCCCAGACTCCAGAACTTTCAACGTCCTCTGCTTCTATGCTTCAGAGTCCCACGTGGCTGTTGTATTCCCACCCAGCAGGGCATAGAGCTCGGCTCCACATGGGAATTTACCTGAGCCGGTCCCCCTTAAACCCCCACAGCTGGACAGAGCCCTGGGTGATCTACGAGGGCCCCAGTGGCTACTCTGATCTAGCATTCCTTGGGCCTGTGCCTGGGGCATCCCCTGCCTTTGCCTGTCTGTTTGAGAGCGGGACTAGGGCTTCCTATGAAGACATCTCTTTTTGCTTGTTCTCACTGGGTGATGTCCTAGAGAATGTGCCCACTGGATTAGAGATACCCAGTCTCAGGGATAAGCCTCAGGGGCATTGCTGGCCCTCTTGATGGCTTGGCTCTCTGGCAGGCTCCTGGGGAGGAAGGGTAGCAGAGGAGGAGGCTAGGGGCAAGTCAGCATGTCCCTAGGACAGAGCATTGTCTCCTTCTTTCTGCTGGTGGGGCATGACTCACGAGGGAGCTTTCTGAGTGTGAATGAGAAATAAAGGGATTGCACTGTGTCTGTTTCTTTCCACATCAAAGCCTTGGGTCCCAGTACTCTAGCTCACTGCTCCTCTGATTGCCATGCACGTTTCTCACCCATCACTTTGCTCAGCTCTCACATTCCAAGGGTGCTTATCACGGGTGAAGGCAACAGAAACAGTGGGCATCACAGCACCTCTTCCACTACCTGCTGTCTGCAAACCCCAATCAATTTGTGCTGATGATTGACTGAGGTCTGTTCACTTTCTGAATTTCCAACAGAAGAAGCAGGTTGGGGAGCTAGCCTCCCCAGCTAGTAGGGAAGGAGCTTGATTTGAGCATATAGTTACTATAGGCACTTTAAAAAAAATCTTTTTATTTTGGTTTTTCTTAAGCTTCTACCTCCCTTCTCCACCCCAATCCCTTCCAACACCAGGTAGGAGAAACAGGTTAGTGGGGAGAGAGGGTAGAGTTCTCTTTACCTACTTTTGCTGTTGAGGGATGTAGTTCCTTGGGGCAAGTCCAATCTTCGTCTTAGGGTAGCTGCAACTTTCCATCAAGCTGCACCAACAGTAACTAGGAGCAGGGGGGGAAGAGCAGCAGCTTTCTTCTTTCTCACCCCCCCTGGACTCCGGCATTTATTCTCTCTCCAGAGTCCGCAGATTTAAACTGTCTGAAGCTGGCCAAGAGCCCCCTCTCAAAGCCAGCAGGAGGCAAATAGTTTGCTGCTGTGGACAATCTGAATCAGTCCCATATCCTACACCTGGGATTAAAACAAAAACATGTTTACATTACATAACTGAGTTTTTAAAGACGCCAAAACTTTCCACTGCAGGGATTTCCTCCTAGGACCTGCTCCATAAGCAAACTTCTTTACCCTTCTCTGGAGAGGGCTCTTCCACCAGTACTGACCCTCAGGGAAGCCTCTCTCTCTCTCTCTCTCCCCCAGTCCCAGTACCCTTTTGTATTTCTTATTAAAGTCCTCATTTCTGATTATAAAAACAATCTGTTGGTGTCAGGACAATGGATTATTCAGCATTTACGATGGAATCACAGGAATCTGAGTTCCATTCTTAGCATCATGTAAAAAGCCTGGTTTAGTGGCAAACACTTGAAGTCTCAGCACTGGAGAGGCAGAGATAAGTAAATTCCCAATATTCCCTGAACAGACATTGTAGCCTAATTAGCATGCTCCAGGTCTCAGTGAGAGACTCTGTCTCAAAACACAAAGCAATGACTTCTGACGAATGACTCAGGTCTTCTGACCTCTTGAAGTATATAATACACATCCTTGTGTACGAACTTCCCTACAATGTTAAAAACAAAACAAAACCCAACAGGTATATGGCCATTTTAGAAAATGTAGAAAGCTATGAAAAATTTTTAAATGACCTCAAGAGAAAACTTTACTGTTTTTTTTTCTTTGTATGTTATGTAAAAATGCTTTTGTTTTAATCCCAAGTGTGGGGGTTTTTAGTTGGGCTATAGTTTGTCCACACCTGTTAATTGTCACGTGCAGGTTGTGATCTTTGCCAGCTAATAATGGCCTTCCACGTGCTGCATGGAGAGGGGCGTGGTCTAGGACTTTGAGAGTACAAATATGAGAGCCGAGAAAGCAACTGGGTGTTCATTCAGTGGTGTTTGGTGTTGGCACGTGGCGTGGAGAGACCAGAGACAGGTGGCAGCCTGGAGCAGACAGAGAAAAGCTTTGGTGTGCAGCAGTGTGGAGGAGACTGCTGGTTGAGTCTGTGGTCAACGGAGATTGGTATAAAGCCCTAAAAGAAGTAAAGGGGTCGAGCCCAATCTTCCCACTAGCCTTTTCTCTCTCCTACTTAAGATTCGGGGGTTGGTGGAAGGGAGGTAGAGGCCTAAACACCCAAAATAGAATTTTAAACAAGACTGCTACAGGTGGCTTTCTCCGGCGCTTTTACTGCTCTTGGTACTATACCTATTAAGCTGATATGCTACTTGGCCAAGCCTTGGGATGGGTACTGTTTTTGAGGTGGGTTCTGTTATTTCCATGAGGTAGTGGAGAGCCTTGGATCAAACTAACTGGGGCTTACATCCATCTGGAGACCTGCAGGAGCTCCTGACTCAATGTTTGTTGTCACCAGGCCTGCTTTGGCAGAGCACACCATAAAGTCTGGGATCAAGTCTCCTAGGTGTCGCCTTCCAGTGGCCCCTGAATTCCTTGATCTTCAAGCTCTCATTAGCTGCTAAGGACTCTGGGGGAGGGTCCTCCTGAGTGTGTTCCCCAAGGGTAGGGAAGAAGGATGTGGTGAGAATGCCTAGGCTTAGGGTATGGTCTTGTTTTACTCTGCATTCACTGTTAGTAGCACTGTGCCACATGCCACACCACAGACTGGGGTGAGCTTTAAAGGAAGGAAATTGATATTGGTTAACATTTCTGGGGGTTATGAGCAGTCATATATGATGATGGTCATCTTGATGGCAGAGCCTGAGGTAGCTGAAGGTATGGCATGCTGAGAAACTGTGTGTATGCTTTGTCTGGCCTTATTTGTTTGTTAGTTTAGAGGCTTAGTGGTTGAGAGCACTTGCTGCTTGTCTTAGGGTTTTTATTGTTGCAACAAAACACCATGACCAAAAATCAAGTTGGTGGGGAAAGAGTTTATTTGGTTTCTACTTCCTGATCATAATTCATCATTAGAGGAAGTCAGAACAGGAACTCGAGCAGGGCTGGAACCTGGAGCTGATGCAGTGGTCATGGAGGGTGCTGCTTACTAGCTTACTCAACCTGCTTTCTGACATAACTCAGGACAATCAGCCCACATATGATACCATCTACAATGGGCTTGGGCCCTCCACCACTGATCACTAATTGAGAAAATGCCTTACAGCTGGACCTCATGGAGGCATTTCCTCAACTGAGGCTCTTTCCTCTCTGATGACTCTAACTTGTGTCAAGTTGACACACAAAACCAGCCAGCACACTGTTCTTGCAGAATCTTGGGTTTTGTTCTCAGCACCCACATGGCAGCTCACAACTACCCATAACTCAAGTTTCAGGGGATGCTCTTCCGGCTTCCATGGGCACTACATGCAGGTCGTACAAAGACATGCATACAAGCAAGAGACCCGTACACATAGAAAGAAGTTTTAAAAATTGTTATTACTACTTGTTGGGGTGGTATGCACACATGTGCATACCACAGAATGCACACAGAGGTTACAGGACAACTTTGTGACCACTTTTATGTGGGTTCCAGGGATTGAACAAGTTTCCCAAGCTTGTGCACCTGCTGTGAGCTATTTTATATTTTACCAGTTCTCTCTCCACATTCTGATAAAGCTACCAGGATTCAGCTCTGGGGGATATGCTCAAAACGCAAGCCAGTCCTCATCACCTCTCTGTGGACTTTCTGAAGCCCATAGCAGACTGTGTTTCCACCCTCTTAGAACCTTGAGTTGCAGGGGGGATACGCTTGTTCCCACAGAAAGCCTCCTACAGAGGCCTTCTGCCTTTCCACCTGCCCCACCTCTGGTCCCTCACCACCACTCAGGCAGCTGATGTCTCCTGTATGGTTTAAGCTATGCTTTGGGGTTGTACTTCCCCCTCCTCAGCCCAGTCTTCCTGGCACTTCATGTTCTGTGAGGTACCCTGGGTGACGTGGTTTTCTAGCTCCTGGCATCACCAGCTCCAGTATTCCATAGACATGATGTCTGGTGTGTAGAATAATGCCTGAAGACAGCCCTGCCCCAACTCCAGAACCTGTAAAAGGTGACCTTGAAGGCAAATGGATTTTCAGAAAGCTGAAAGGAATATGGGGACCATGCTGATCTACCTGAATGGACCCAGAGTTAATCAAGGGGCTCTAATGAAAGGGGCTAAGGGCGAAAGTGGAGTTTGAAGATAGGGGAGGAGCTGAGCATTTTCCCCCAAAAGCCTGCAGAAGGAGGCATCCCCATTGATACCTTAGTGTTAGCCCATTGGACCCAGGTCAGGCTTCCAGCTTTCAACATGTAGTAAGTCTGCTGTTTGGGACACACCATGTTTCAGGCTTGTGAAGCAGTGGGCCATAGGACATAGTTACAGGTAGCCAGAAATAAACTATCATTTTCCATTTTCAGTATGAGGTGCCTTTAGAGTTCATCAGGAATTGCAGATAAAGAGGAGGAACTGTCCCCATGTCTTCCCTAGTTAGAAGCTGTGCACTGAAAATGGCTGTTAGTCCTTTTTCATTACTGTCACAAAACATCAGAGACAGCCAACATAAAGGAAAGCTTTATGTTGAGCCATGGTTTCAGGTTTATGTCCAAGGTTGGCTGGCTCCATTGCCTTTAGTCTTGTGGTGAGGCAAAGCATCATGGTGGGAGGTACTGCGGGGTAAAGCTGTATACATAATGGCAGCCCCCAGGGAGAGAGAGAAGATAGGACTGGGGCCAAAGTGCAGCCTTGTGGGCATACCCTCCAATTATGTCAACTTCCTACTTCTGCCACTTCCCAGCAATTAGGTTATGGCTCATTTGATAAGGTCAGGTCCTCAGGATCCAGTGGAGTTCCCCAAAGTTCACCTCTAAGCATTGGGATGGGTATAGTGTTTAGCACATCAGTTTGGGGGAACATTTTTTAAAAATTAATTTATTTTTATTAATTACAATTTATTCATTTTTACCCCAGCTGTAGTCCCCTCCCTCATCCTTCTCATGCCCCTCCCTCAGTCTACTGATAGGGCAGGTCCTCCTCCCCTTCCCTCTGACCCTAGCCTATCAGGTCTCATCAGGACTGGCTGTATTGTCTTCCTCTGTGGCCTAGTAAGGCTGCTTCCCCCTCGGGAAGGTGATCAAAGAGCCAGCCACTGCATTCATGTCAGAGACAGTCCCTGTTCCCCTTACTAGGAAATCCACTGGGAGACTGAGTTGCCATGGGCTACATCTGTGCAGGGGTTCTAGGTTATCTATTTTTAAAGAATTAGTTTATTTTTTAATTATTTGGGGAACATTTTATATACAAACCATGGCAGATTATGGTGGTAAATTTTATGTGTCTCTTACCACAATAAAAAGTTATGGGAAACCTGCAGAGTAC